CTGCGACAGTATCACGAGGATATCTTGAGGCATTCAAGAAAGACGCCTGAGGTGGTTTGGGTACGTTTTCTGTCTTCCACCTCAAGACCTTTGCTATGCTGCCCTCCACTCGGTGCCGCAGCACACATGGAGGTGTCGAAGAGGAGAGCAACTCAAGACTTGGTTCTACACAGTTCCTTTAGACGGAAGCGGTTTAGGGATCTTTTGTTTTCGGCCTCCATGGCAGAAGAATGTGTAAAGCTTTCCAGATTTGCTGTTGCTAATCGTCGTGCGTGGAGAGGTATCGTTCATGACATTATTGAGGCTGTCTAGATTAGGCCTGATCACAGCCGCACCAAGTACAAGCGAGCACTATCCTTCGAGTTGGTCTCAGATAAATAAGGTTTCTTTGGCTTGGATACGTCTGTAGCTCACCATATGATCTTGGCTCAATTGCACTGCACTATGTCAGGGGTCAAGATAGATGCTGAAGATTTTGAAAACGATTTCTAATTACCGGCTTAAGGTCTCCGGTGATGACTATGCCTTGTAATCCCAGCATGTGACCACTAAATGTGACAGAGTCTTCTCCAAGACACCGTGAAAAAGGTTTAAATTTGTAATGATAAAGACAGTCACAAATATGCCAGTGCCAGTTTACTTACGAGCGACTTTAAAGACATAGGCCCACTCGGGCAGACAAAAACTGGCTTAAGCCCGAAGTCTGGGAAATCGGTCATGTGAATTAGACGCGCCCAAAGCACTCAAAACCTATTAAGATTCTGGAAACATTCGGTCAATTGCGCTTACGCTTCATTCTTTGAATAAGACACTTTGATCACTCCAATGAGTGATTATATGGTAGAACCCAGGCAACCGACTTTCCTATATATCATATGGGGGATTATTTAGAGGGCTGACCTTCCAGCAGGCGGGAATGATCAAGTTCGAGGAAGCAGTTAATGGAGACATTGACAAACTGAAATTATAAGGGTGGCATTATCGGACGAACGCCAGCTTACTTGCTTTCGCAGTAATCTATAGTTGGTGACGTGATCTAAGCCAAAGGAATTGTGAACGATAATCTGGCAAGCGACATATACGCGCGAACTTAATAAGATTGCGGAATCACGAAAGTATCTCGTGTAACGAGCATATAAATGCCGTGTATATTCGATCAATGTCGAGTCCTTTGAACAGACACCAGTGCTGAGCGGACAGAAGCCATAGATATAGAATGTTTAATAACAGGTAACTCAAGGGTAATTCGTTGATGTTAAATAAGTAATCAATAAATGCTAGTAGGGGTGACATTATAGGGGTAGTCATTGGAGTTAGCACTACTAAAGCCTACGCAGATGACTGTCTTTAGTGTTAAATCAAAATGTGGGAGTTAGCTGGTAAGTTCTATATATTGTAATAGCGAAGGAATCAGTGGAAACTCGATCAAACAATGCAGATGGCAGGACTTACGTTAAGCGTTTGACCTGCAAAGGTTATCATCGGAAGGTAAGCCAGTGCACGATCTACGCTAGCGACATCGTGCATTTGCACCATCGCAGAACCTTCTTTAGAACGGAGAAACTTGATCCGCCCGACATTTCCATATAGGCAAAAAAGATTGAAAAGCCTGAAAGTCAGAAATAAATTAAACAGTAAGGTCGAAGAATAGTGTTAGTGAGACAAATTAAGAACGTAAGACTATTTTGCACACGATATCTACGAAAGGCCGTTTGCCTGTAACTATGTTCTTCCCGACACCTTGGCAGTAGGTTGTTTTTGAAACAAATGGTGTCTAAAGTTGGGAGAATTCACATAACAAGACAACGCAGATGGACATACATTTTAATAAT